TAAAAGGAAACCCTGTGTCGCAGGATGGAGCGACCGGATTAAGGAATATGAGTAAACACAAATCACAACAACACTATTATTATTCCTTCATGCTTCACTCTTAAAGTAATCTGCCCTACATTAAATAGAACTTGGATGTTAGGCGTAATATTTGACGTCTGCGTTGCCTCTCTGCCTCCTGACCACGGCCAGTCCCTTAAATCCTACAGGGGCGCACCAGTTTTTGAACCCAAAGCAAGGTCACCTATCAAGATCATCGGTTAGTGGCCGTTGCAGGTAAATGTGATTGACATTGACCAATCGTAGATCTCATTGGGTCACCTTAACTTCGATTCTCACTTGACAAGTGCGTGTTATCACCTAGCTTCAGATTGGGTTAGCATTTAGTCCTATGAAGGTGAATATTTCAAATGGATTCCCACATTTTATTTCCTTGTCACAGAAATCAGAGTAACTGTCGTTGATCGACTATTGGACACAATCGCTATTGTAATAGGTGGGAATTATGAGTACCGATAATTTAATTTTGGTAAGGTAAAAGCACTTCACCTCTACTTCTGACCGACACGATCATACGTTGGTGTCGTGCTAGTCTTTCCGATCTGCATGTCCACAGATTCTCAATTACAGGCGTAGAGGTGCTCTATTTTTAGTTCCCAGTTCTGATTGCCTTTGAAAAGCCAACAGAGCACAGTCATTGACGTTGAAATCTGACCCAGGAAAGGCTTTGAACCAGCACATACTTCTTCAGACAATTAAAATCTGCTTTAAAATTTTACATGGTTTTATGACTGTTGCAACTGCGCACCTCTGCATAATCCCCTCATGTTGATGGTCGCGACAATGATTTTGGGTTTCTGGGTGCCAATAATATTTTAAGATGGGATTTTCGGTAGCACCATTACATGACTGCCTGAGAGTTTGCACGAAGCTGCAATTGGTTTAGGATAGTCTTTTAAAACACAGGAGTTCAAGCAACGGTAAATTTGAAGAGGACGCCAGCTTCACTGACTTTGGTCACACGTTGGAATGCGGTACTTGTAAAGGTATATTTATCAAATCTTAGTTTAAAAACTCAGCCGCTGCGGCAATTACATTTACATAGAGCAGTGGCTTCATTGTGAAACCACGAATTTATAGTTTCTGAGCTCATTGAGGCAAACTATCCGTGCCAATTACAGCAGAATGCTTTCGGTTTGAGGAATAAATTCACAAAAAGGCGAAGACACGAAAAAATCAGGTTCTCGACTCTACGGAGCAGTTATTATGGAGCCGGCCGCTATTCTATGTGACACACCAATTAATTTCAGAGCAAATTCTGTTTTGGTACCTTGGCGTCAGCCAGTGTTCAAGGCGTCAAAAACCTGGATAACTCCCAAGGCCGTGCTGAAACCAGGTGACTGAGGCTTTGAAAACATTTGTGCACTATCTTATCTGTGACAGTGGACGTCGACCAATCGAATTTGTGACTGCATCTACACTGAACTTGGTGGAAAAAAACGAACGATGTCTCATTCAAAGTGCACCCATATTGTTTACGTTTGTGCGGCGGCATTTTTTATACCCAAATCATTGCAAATCACGCGCTTCTAGAAGGCAGTCTGCAAGAATTCTTCTTCCACTCAACGATCAAATTGTGTGTGGCTGCGTTGACGACGTGGCACGGTTGGGCGTAGTTTTTTGTTATCTGGCTGACAGGCAATGTTACTTGAAATTAGGCGCATAATTTGACATGTAAGTGATCCACGTATCTGTGGCACACATATTAACTACTGACCTTTAGATGCGAAATAAGACTAGGCACCGGGTAGCGTAATTCTGCGTTTGTTAGTCCGAGGTTAACGCGCTTTTGTCGTTCGACCTTGAAGTTACTGCAACCAGATTCGACTATGAACGAACTGAAAGTCAAAATCAACTTGTGGAAACAACTGAATTGCCTCCAGTTCGCCAGATTTATTGGCTGTTGGGATTATTCACACGCACAATGCAAAGTATTCTGTTTAAAACAAGCACAAAACTTTTATAATCGATAAAATGTAAATAATAACACCTTACCGCATCGCCAAATTTTAAATTATTATAAAACACCGCCAAGTCTTTGAAACCCGTCGGTTTGTGGAGGTAGTTAGTCACAGTATTTTTTTTCTTGAACCAGTAACGTTTAATGACTAATTTGCTACCAGCACGTGTATAGACCATTTACACACACACCCACCGGCACAGCCAAATGGCAAGGTGTAGGACGCTTTACTGTCGACACGCTTACGTTTGACGTAAAAGCTCTGCTTCAGTATAGAAGGCCGAGAGAAATTTGGGCTGCGTTGCCCTGGCAACTAGACCTCATGCATGTTACTAGGCTCATGTCGTCTTCACAGTTCGAACTCAGTACGGCAATTTTAGTTGCCTTGTTCTTCTTCCTTGTTGCTTAAGCTACCCTGATTTCGTCACATTATTTATTTAGCAGCAAGATCAGAGAATAGTGAAAGTGGTGCTTCAGTGAAGCGTTGATAGCTCTAAAATCGAGTAACATCGAACTTTGGTTGTGCTGAATGGCCACCCTTGAACGGCACATAAGCTCTAGAGGCATTATTTGACCAATTAAAATCTTCACCTGAAGTCAAGGGTCGTGGACTCCTGAGTAAGCAGGCCCTCAGCCATTCGGGTTGCTGCCATCATCGGGGAATTTTGTTTCCGTGTGGTTCTAGATGAAGCCAAGCTGTCGTCAATGTCTAGAGACCTTCATAAAATAACGTCGATGCAATCAAAGCGCGAATATTACTGTTTTAGTCCACTTTTGAGATATCACAAAATCCTGTTCAGTTAGCTGGAATTAGCTGGTGCCTGAGAAGGCCACAACGCACACAGTTATGGCCGCAGTTGTTAATATAGTCGTATGTCATTCCTAACTGCTTGCACTGGTCTCTATTTAGTCATGGCAAGCTGGAAAACGATTCATCTAACACAATGCAAAATACTCGATATCTGCCACATATGACTTGTCGACCGAAATGGGGATGCAGAATTTGCTAACACTTTTTTCACGGATGATTGCAACTCTCGCAAATAACACAAACTTAAATACCAGCGGCTATGCGCATGTGAATGGCGGAAAAACAAAATTATCTCACAGTTTTAATTGTTACTAGAGTTATCCCAAACAATATTACAGCAATACGTAGCGTAAAAGTAAATGCATACGACAAATGCATTCACTTACCACCAGAGTCGGGCTTGAATTTTGTTCCAGCAAAACTGATTTAGTAAAACAAAGGGTAATGCAGAAGTGACATGACAAGCGTTGCAACTATTAAACACCGAAGAGTACGTCTTTTCTAATACTGGTCATCCAGTGTAGACTCAAGGATTGATTTCCTCAAAACCCAGCCAAATGGAAGCTGAAACCCTTGGCTTCGAGTTAACATCATCTCACAGTGGGTCTTCAACCACTGCCCTTTGAGAGCCGCAGTGATTTTGACCAGTCTAAGCTCCTGACGCGTTTCCGTCGTTATTTCAAGGATCATCCAAGTGTATCAGTTAAGAAAATATGCTTAAAATGCAACGGTGTTTTGAACTGGCTGGGTTGCTGAGGCTCTAGAACGATTATCACATCCAGTATTTTACATTTACCGTGGACATTGTCGCCTTTTTTATTGTTATCAAGCGCCTCTTTTAACTATGCTCTTGTGGCCTTTTCCCGAGTCTACTTTCTCTGCAAGTGCGCTGCGATTGCCTCGCGCTCGACGGTCAGTGGATGGCAGACTAATTAATATTACTGTCGGGAATATTGTACCAATTGGCAGCCGGACGGCAGATGTACTTGGTAGTTCTATAAATAAATGCGGCTGTCGTCCCAGCTAATGAGGATTAATAGATGTAGGTTGTTTTATATTACCTGCACCAGCTTGAATAAGGACAACCTATTTCCTCTATGGGTTACTTGGCATTTGGTCTTCAAATAATCACAACCGTCTTCTGTTCATAGAGCCGCTATTTTTGTCCAACGTATCAGAGTTTCTGTCGCCACACATAACTACAACGCTATATTTAATTCCTGTGTTCCCTTCACTAAGCTACTCATGACAGCCAGAAATAAAAAAAGGTGATTTAGCAGGTCAGTAATGGAATATCAATGGGTTAGACACAAACGGACTGCTAAAGTAATGATTTTAGTTATCGAAACCGTCTAAATTCTAAGTCCTTCCATATTTTCGGCACATATCGCTTTGTGGTAGATATTTACTAAATGAAATATTTAACGCCTTACAGATTTCACAGCCCAGAGCTATGCTAAACTTGCATTTAACTGATGTCTTTTTGTCATCAGAGTGGTTTGTAAAATAGTTTTCCATGGCAGCCCTGCAATACTGCAGTCCCAGTCCACAGCCAACGTTCGTAACTTGATTAAATTCATATTTCTTTTGCACCAGCAATCGCATTTTTCCTCCGACGTGTCCCGACTTTACCTCCATCCGGTGTCCGTTTTTAAAAAAAATGTTTTTTTTTATGGATAACAGAAGCCGAAGAAACCTAGGAAGACAAAACAGCTGTCAACTTGCACCAAAATATGTTCATACTAGCTCTGCCCTCCGCATCAAACGTCACATGTTTAAGCAATTCAACAAGAGCCGTAACTTTCAACCGCTGCTTTCGAATATTAAAAAAAATGGCTGCATTCCCTAATAACAAATAACCGCCAGCAATCTTTTCTTAGTTTTCGAAAGTAGTTATGATGCTGTCAACTATGAAGCTTCGTATCGTCCTGCTGCCTGGTTGCGGATCGCACATTTAGCAGAAAATCCAGTCTTGAGTCTTCAGTTAACTTTATCTTTAGGACTTGAGAAGTAGAATGACAGATACAGTTTTGCATCGGTATTTTAAAAATTAAGACGGTAAAGTGTGCAAAATGCATTGTTTTTAAGTCACCGCTAGCCACAGCTTTGATTACCTAACAGCGAAATCTCTTATCAAGTTTTTTAACGACGTTGTCATTTTTTCAGTCTATGAACGTTGTCTGTCGAAATGGTGAATCGCACACACCCTAGCGAATGCCTCCATTGATTCGTTGGTGTTATAAACAGACTTACCTTCATTCAGTGTATTCGGAACGTGTTATCAGCAAATAGTTACCACAACGATGTCTGCATTGTTAGGCGTAACGAGGGGTTAGACTCCAATATCCAGGAAAACCTACACATATAGTGGACGGGCTAGTGGTACATTATTTCCAAGTGCATAAATTTGGCTAAATATTATTAGAACCTTAATTATTGCGGGTCCACAGTGATGTGCTTCCTCAAGAACGACGTGAATACGGATCGAACATTTTCAGTTGGAAAATGTAGCGTGAAGTTCGCAATGTTGTGGGCCCCAGCATGTGGTCTTGAACCACTGAATTAACCCTGGCCCGACTACGCTTCCTTGATACTCGCGATGAAGACAAAGATTGGAAAGAACGTGGCCACAACCGTTTACTTCAGAGCTCAACCACATTGGTGTCGTTGTGTCGTGGGTGGCATTCGCGCGTGTGTATTTATACCTTAGATGTGTGAGTCATACATGCGCCGACATCGAAACGTAGGTGTGAGGATAATCCATGATAAATATCCGCGCGGTACAGGAAATACGAAACCGCTGTTTGAATCTTACTCATTTTTTCACTTAATAGAGCTGTAGAATTATTGTCTGGCTGACGTTCTGGCATGTTTTCTCATCAGCTGATCATCCTGACCCTACTAAAGGCGTTACGTCAGTCGGTGATGCACTTGCGCACACGACTTGCATGTCGCACTCATCGAATTGTAGCCAAAATTCAGAATACCTAGTTAATTTATTTGGAATACACTCAGGCCTCTACACCTGTATTGTCTTCCGAAGGTCAGGGCCACTAAGAACGAAACCCTTTCCCTTACGGCTTGATTAAGGAAGCAACTAGAACCCCGACGTTTTTGGTCTTGTGTCGGAGACCAAACGTGGTGCTGTGTAGTCCCTGCTCACCATGAATAACCGGGTTTTGGCAGCTCATGGCTTGGGCTTCCAACTGAATCACTGATCTTCCAGATCAGGTTTTGAGTCAAGAAGACTCTTGCGGTGGTGGCCCACAAAGTCTGGCTGTTAAGAGGGTTGTAGGGTCCTCTCCAAATTATTTTGCACAATTTTTGTGTTTGTGTTGCAGCCAGCATTACTTAACCATTTCTCCCAGTTTTGGGCCAGATAAAATAAAATAAACCTCTGGCTTGTCGTTTATCCAAAACTTTTTTTTGTTTATTGACCTGATTCACATAACCTTTAGTTACTGGTCCTCAAAACTTTAAATTCGTCCACTTTCTTGTCCGTTTCTCTTCTTAGGTGGATACTCTGGTGACATAGCCCTCTCTGATTCAGAAGCAATGAGTATGATTGAACGTTATGGAGATGTCGACAAACGACCACTTCAACAATGGATTGAACACTCAGACACTTATAATTTTGACGGATATTCTGACACTGCTACAAAGACTGCCACAAAAGTTGGCGACAAGCCACGAGATGCCTCGAACGATGGCACTACAAATAGGTAAGCTGTGTGACCGTCAACTTTTGAGTGAAGATGCAGCCGTCCTTCACAGTTCAAACAAGAACTTCCGACCTGAATGGCTGTAGCATCTTAACCCAGTTGATCAACTTGCTGAAATAACTCACATTTATGTGTGGAATTTGTCTCGGCGCTTAGGTGAAAGATTTAAAAAACTCTGGGTCACTTATGTGACAAGTGGTCTTGAAGTTCATTAATAGACCTTACTGGAGTTTGTGTTTATAGTTAATACGTCCAGGAGTAAAGCCAACAAAGTGACTAGACACATTTCTGGTTTCCAAAAACAACAATTTACCAAGTTAACAACAAAGCTACTTAGGTTATCACCACAAATTCTATTAGGTATACATAATCAAACCCTGACGTATTAGAGTGGTAAAAGTTGGGCTTACTGGTCCGTGCTAATCACCAGTCATCTGTCTGCCCTTGGGCGTGTGATTTTACACAAACGTGTCTTCGATAAATCAGACCTGTTTGTTGCCAATGCCTGGGTTGACTTAAAACAATGGAAACTGTTAAATTAGTGATTGGTTGAACCTTGGTATTATCAGGCTAAAACATTTTAAGGATCTTCTTCACAACCTAAGTTCATAACCGTGGTTAGATTCTGCGAATATGTTGTCACGTCCTCTTTTAACAAAAATACAAAACTTTTAGTCAAACGTCTCCAAGGAAACCTGCCTACCTCTCTTCGAAACAACAAAACGATAAGGCTAGGGGTGTGCGTAGGAGCCAGCGCGAACGTCGTCAGCGTTTTCGTCAGAATCGTCGAAGAGACCGCAAGGATGTGAAGACAAGCGATGCCCCCCTTACTCATGAGCAATACCTTCGCCGTTTGAAGAGAATTTCCGAACGCCAAAGAATCCTCCACGAGAGACTGGCTGCCCTCTCACGCAGGCAGCAGGCATTGCTAGAGAGGGCGATGCTGTCAAGAGAGACTGCTGGCCATGATACTTCGTCGCGAGGAGGTAAGAGGGCGAATTTGCAGAGTGCCCAGAGGGTTAGAAAACTTCAAGACGTGGATGAGGAAGACCAGCTTCCAGAGGAAGACAGACCCAAAAGACGTACGCGACGTGCCGCCACGGCATACAAATCAAGGACTTGGCCATACGGTGTTATTCCTTACGTGATACAGGCGAATTTCTCAAGTAAGATGGTGCTAAACTATGCTGACTATTCCACCTTGGTCGCCTTAACTAACTGGACTAAATCACTCCTTTGAGAAGCCATACTCAAAGTCGCGCATCAGGTCAGGTTTCAGATTTAAATTCTAAAAATCAGCAGCACACGCCTTTAGCCGAAGAATGATGGAATTCCGGTATAGTATTCGTAGGATGCATTTAGAAACTGGTTCGCTCGTGAAAATCACAGCAAACGCATGTACATGGAATAAAATTAAAACCAAGCACAAATTGTTGTTTAAAAACGGAACTCAATTTGACCGTTGCCATGCTTGATTTTGTGTATGTGTGAGCGCGCACCTTAACAAAACGTCGAGTTATGTAAACAATGCCTACCAATGCAACCTGGACGTCCGAAAATTATGACTCCTATTGTGCATGTACAAGCACTCAAAAGCAGTCGCTTTTGTATTTAACTGATTTGAGTTAGTGCAGCCGGAGTAGTGATGTTATGAAGGTCCAAGTAACAGCACTCAAGTTTTGAAGGCTCATTTTAGACAGGTAGGTTTAGCACCAAAGCCGCTGATGCAACAAAACATTACAGGACAAATAGTCCACTTTGCTCCATCAACAAATAAACTGGATTCATCCTTTCAGAAACTAATCCAGTTAGTGCAGCATGTTAATTCTTGCGTTCAGGATTCCTGTCCCCCGATATGGGGATTTAACTGTTCCGCACATTCATTTTGCGGCTTATCTGAGGACTAACTCCAGGTCGATCGTACCTTCGGGATAGGGGTCGTTTGAACCAGGCCTGAACAGCTGATCCTATTCAACTAAGGTGATTCTGTGGGTGACACTTTGTTTGTCCTTTAGATAGGTTGAAAATGCCTGATAAACAGGGAGAGGGCAACCACGCTTGCCGACATTATTCTTGGCTTCGTAGCGCTCCAGTTGTGGACACACTGGCTTCATTGTCCCACAATTCGGCTTTTAGCTTGACGATCTCCAACGGCGATATGGTCGGTTGCACCCAAAACACCCGGTAGTATGCCGTCTTTGTGGACAGTCTAGTGACTACCGGGTCGGCTCGTGATGCAACTTGAGTTCTCGTCTAGGCTAATCCGAAATATCTATCTGTTAAGGCTTTCACCAGTGTCGAAATCATGAACACCAAAACAAATAAATGATACGTTGAATCAGTACCTATAATTGTCAACCGCGTCCAATAAATGAACTGTCTGTGTGCTCCCACGAGCAGATTTTATCAGCCCCAGTGGCGATGGACCGTTTTTTCTTGCCGGGCACGCGTCTCGATTCTGGCCTGAATTCCTCTCGGTGCAGTGAATCCTGCACAAAGTAATTATAGTGCTTAGGTGTTTCATTTTCATCAACCATTTTTATCTACATGAACCCCTGTCAGGAGGACATTTCAAGGGTGCCTGGTGTTTACGAATAGTCTTCAGTTTGTTTGTGAAGTTGTAGCACAACTAATGCGTAAATTGTACCTTCGATTGTGTGACTGTGGAGCTTTTTGTAACCCTCTAAACCAATACATCACTTGAACCCGGAAATCGATTTGGCTTAACTTGTTCGGCTTGTTTATAAACCATGGAGGTCAACAGCATGTGTACATGCATATTTGTGTGCAACGATTTAGTTTTACACACGTAATTAAGATTTTTTCTTTAAAAAGGTATGAATCTGCACATAAACCTTTCCATGAACGTTTTTGACATTTGTCGGTATAACTATATTCACTGCTTAGGTGCGATTAGATTCCTTCTTCAGGAAAACCTAATCGATAACGTGTGACCACTGTCAACTTGTAGGTTAATTCAGAAAAGGTTGTAGGAACGTACCGGTCATTGTACGGATCCGGTAACACCAATAAGCTCAGGAAGCATGTGCGTATGATTAAAAGGTAGCAAGTAACAGCTTCTGATACATTGAAAGTTATTTCAACTCGCTAGGCAACGGCAATAACAATGGTCACCCAAACACAGAACCCCTAACAATTTCTATCGTATGGAATGGGTAGGAATGGTATCGTTATGGGAGCAGCTGGCTTGAAAAAAATGAAACATGCTAGAACAGGTTCGCAAGTAGTGGTTTAAAAGGCTACAAATTCAACCGGTGGTCGACGAATGCTGGCGCCATCTGTGAAATTCCTATTAACCGGGTCATTGTTTGTACGAGGTCCCACATGTAGAATAAGGACAAGAACTGACTCGCATAAAACGGATGTTTTCCACCACGCCAAAGTAAAGCAGCACACAGGCTTTAGCTGAAAATTCAGAGCAATCCTTGCAAAACGGCTTTTAGAGGTAGCGTATGTCCCTAAAAGCACTATACACACTACATATATGTGATTTCCTTTATAGGTGAAACTAAGGCAACCATAATGAAGGCCATGCGTCATTGGGAAAACCACACCTGCCTTAGTTTTGTTGAACGCGAGCCTCAGCACAAGTCCTACATCATCTTCACAGTTAAACCCTGCGGGTAAGTTGAGCTTTTTGACATAGTTTGGATCCTACCAAAAGATGGTGGCATATATCGTGAAATTCGAGGTTACAGCAGCTCTTGTTTGATCAAAAGTCTCATTTAACTTCGTCGAAAATCCACCGAATTGTAGAATGCGACTGCAACTCCTGTATGGGGTGGTATTTAATGTAGAATCAATTCACAGCTCTGCCATCATGTGAAGCCCTAACCCTCTTGACTTGCGGCCTGGAAATTTAAAGAAAAAGCTTTTACTACAACTTTACAGTTTTAGCTAGATTCACGCCTTGGAAATAAATCTCTAGTTAACGAAAATGTCACATCTTTTAAGAAGGTAGTTTCATAATTAAACATAAGTCGGGCTCTTTGTTGAATTTGCATCTCTTAGACCACCGTGTGTCCGACGGATATTGGAGTTAAATGTGACGTTCTGGATCCTGCGAATATGTCATTTTGAACATAATTAGTAAGATTTTAGTCCCATAGATTACAGGCAACATCATATGCAACCAATTCGTTTGGTCCATTTTTTATATACATTTTTGTTGGTCACGCGTAAACAGTGACAACGGCATGGTGAAGTAGCGGCAATGACATCCAGTGTCAAGTAACTAAGCACGGTTGCATTTAGGAAAAGAAAAAGAAGATGTCTGACCTTTGCTTGGAATTGGACCATCAGGCGTTCTGTGTCTATGCTAGTTGGCGTTTATGTGCTGGACTTAGTCGTTGCGTGGCTGGTAAGAGTTGTGATTAGCGAGTGTTGTTTAGGTTAGTTTCTCTTATCTTAATGTGGTTTAAAGTGGTGTGAGCAATAAATGTTTGCTGAAAGGGTCTCACTGCAGTCCTTGTTTGACCTCATGAGTCATCTACGGTCTCAATACCCCCTTGAACACACCCCATGACCTCGGTTGTGGAGGAAGTCATAAAAGTAATATTCTTTCCAGGTGCTGTTCCTACGTTGGGCGACGGAGTGAGGACGAACCGCAAGCGATTTCGATTGGCAAGAACTGCGACAAGAAGGGCATTGTTATTCACGAGCTGGGACACGTGATTGGATTCTGGCACGAGCACACACGACCAGACAGAGATGGTTCGTTCATTCATTGCTTACAAAAATTTCAACTGTAAAAACCCAAACGAATTATTTATTAGAGCAAATCTAGTTGTTTGGCTTTATTGAAAGTACGCTTTTTAATGTAAAGATCCACGTGCGTGAAAACGGCATCAGTTTGTGGTTTATTGTAAATGTTGGGTACCAAATCGCATGAAATACACTCCGAGTTATCAGTCGATCATTTGACATAAGTAGTTTTCCAAGTACTAGCGTTCGCAGCTTCATTAGGATGGACCAGCCAAGTAGGTTGAATATCTCATCGCACTAAATTTGTTTCGTATTTGTGGAAGCATACTTGACTGGTGTGAGTACAATGTAGTCTCCTTGTTTACTTGTGTTCTAATTTCTAGACACGTCTAGGTCTACATGACCTCAACTGCATTGAGACGGCGGTGAAACATCAATAAACATCTACAGCGCTCAAATTTGAAAATAATCCCCAATGACTGTCTTAAGGCATTCATGTCGTCACTGGTAGTCAGGCTGCTACCGTGATACATTGTGAATCACGCAAACCGTTAGTGCTGGTTTACACTAGTTGGGAGTCAAAACTAAGCATCAGCCATAGCGCTTTGAAGACATTCAAGTACGAACCACAGCCGCACATCCTTGTTCTTGCACGTGCTTTCATGTGCCGGTGAAAGATCCCTCGTCATGAGACTGTGTATCAAAGAGACTAAAAATCCTGTAACCAAAATACTAGCGCCCACATGCTATGTGCACATAAACATGGCATTTGTGTCAAGAAACCGGACTGCTGCCTAACTGTCATCCACAGGTTAGAATGCCCTTTTGCACTAGGGTCCACGAAGTTGTTTTGCACTTTTACCTGATGATACACATGGTGGATGTCTTCGAGACCACAAACTTTTGACATTTGTGTCTGCCAAATCATACTAGTTGACAGGGTTTGGCATTCACCACGTCCTGTTTGCTTTGGTTGACCGGGTTCACACGATTGCAGTTTAAGTCTGGTTTAGGCACCTTTTGGTTTAAAATAAAACCTTATTTGGCGCAGATAAAGTCTCTCTGATTTTAGATATTCTTGGGCTTTTGCTTTGAATCTTAGAAATCCTAGAAATTGTTTCAGATACTCAAGGAATTTGGCCATTTTTAGTAAATTCTTAATTCGAGGGAACCGTGTGCGAAGTGCTTATTCAACATTATTAGCACTCGTGGGTATGCTAGTGTCACGTGCTCAGCCAGAATTAGTTTGAATTTAGTTACAGCTCGACAAGGCGGCGGTGGTGGTTTATTTTCAAGTTTGCGTATCGAAACCGGCGTTGTGGCATCAATTAGTTCCTTGACTGTACACACAAAATTATTTATTGAGCCGATTGTTTACCAAAATGACCACTTTTTTACGTCACCTTGGCCAAATCACAGGCAGAAAATGAAATATTTTGCGTAGTTTGTGGTGTCGCGAAACACTGGTTAATTAAACATTACCCATGAAAAATGACGTACGATTTCAAAATCGTACCTTTAGAACTGCCGTGAATTTTGCCGTTACACATGAGTGGAAAAGGCGAGGAAGTTGAAATCATTTGACACTCCCCTGTTTTGGCTTACTGCAAATTCAATTGAGAGTTTAGCATTCCAATGCCCCTTATAAGGTCGGAACAGCAATACGGCTGACAAATGCCGTGTTAGTGGCTTCGGCTCACTTCCTACTCGACTCACTTCACCTCATTAGAAACGTGTCCACACGGAGCAGTATTACTACACAACTTGCAGTAGTATTTATGTTAGGCTGAAGGTCAAAAGACGTGAAATTCAGTATATTGTGCCTTATTACTCGGGGCAAAAGAAAAAGGAAGAAAGCCACCGACATCCGACATCGGGGGCAAAAGTGATTCAAGTAAGCGCACGAGTTTTTCTTCTACACCACCACAGCGGGAGCGTTGAATCAACTGAAAGCGAAAGACGGCATCTTACTCGATAAAAACTCGGGATCCCACACACATAAAAGAATAAAATACTTAAAAAGTGTCCTTTGCTTGAGGCGAATTTAGGCTTATATTTGTGCTGTCTACCACGTCTCTTATTCACCTGCCTTGTACCTGCTCAAGTCGCTGTTATTTGACATAACAATATCATTACCAGGATTCTGATATGTTTGCTGAAAGGATGATCAGTAGACCACAATCAAAAATAAAGCAACTTGGTAGTCCTTAAATCGTGCAATTTGCCACGCATTTGAATGTACGCTTGCCTTCAATTCGGCCATCCAGTCGCACACATTCTTCAATTTTGCAAGGTCTTAGAATTTGCAATGCTTGTAGTCCCTGTCATCTGTATAGAATGTCTTTAATAGGCTTAGAACTGCAAGAACTGCCGAACTTCATTTAAAATTATTAAATGGATTCACGGGTGCTGCAGTCACACGTCAAATTTAAACTGTTTGAAATTCCTGGAGCCAAATTCCCTACTACCACTGCTACTGAATCTAACGCCTTTAGTCTATCTGGGCTTGGGTGGAAAAGAACGGGTTTCCTAACAAGGTATTTCGTGAGGTACTTAGGCGCCTAGTTAGTGGGGTGTACAGCATTCAAGCCAGATGTTTCATTGGGCAATTAACGCTTCCATGAAACAGCTGACGTCCAACGCAGCTGTGCTGGTTTTCGCGTTCAAACGGTTTTTACTCACTCATGTTGTGTGAGGATCTCCTTAAACGTGTTTAATTGTCCTTAAAATGTTCCTTTGCAGAGCATTCTGCGTCAATTAAAACTCCCTTTTGTAGTCTTGGCGGTGTGAAACATGATACACGTTATTTTAACCTAGTTCATAAATATTTAATGGCTATGCTCTCAAGAGTAGCTAGTACGAGTGGTCAGCACATTGCCTATGCGAAACTTTTAACAAATAACAGTTTAGTCCATAGGTTTTATTTGCAGTACATACTCTTTGGTTACTCCTTGGAAGATTCTGACCTTGTTTCTGCGAACTAAACTAATAAATTTTATCTGGCGATTGCCACAAAGTACTACTGAAAACCTTTAAAGTATTAGTGTTGGGTATTTGTGTAATTCGAATTGAGTGATGTGGCCCAAGTCGACTATTTTCGCTTCACCAAGGATCGAATTGCCTTAAACTCCTCGTGCGCTTTAAATATGATCTCTTTGAAGGTGATAATGAACACTACCTCTTGCACACGTACATGTGTAGTTTGTGGTATTCGTTTACCTGAAGGACAAAACAAAATTCTTCCAGGATATTATATTTAACTCCTGTAAATACTCATAGGGGTATTTCATTTGTGGATGGAATTCAACGCACCAAGTGCATACAGTATCTAGGGTCTTGCAGTCAAGCAGGCGCCAATATTTAATGGGAAAACGACTTCTCTTACTATTATCCCTCATCTCTTCCATCACATCATACTTTTGTCGGATATAATTTCAAAGTAAAGTGAATGGAACCACTTTTCGTCGATTCCCCAGTTTCATGATGCGAATTTCAGTTGTCTTTGTTACGCTCAAGTTGATCAGTTTGACCTATTCCCTTTTCTACTTGACTTACTGTCTACATTATGATTACTCCTGCGTAATTCTTCGATGATGACTACAAACCAAGGTCATAACGTTTGTTCCGCCAGGTATCCAAATGTCTGGATAAACGAGGCGGTTTTTTTCGGTTATTTCAGCACACCGAATGATTAACGAAAGGTCACTTCATTTTGCAGCTTTTACATTAATCTCTGTATAAATCTTATTTATATCACTTAAATGTTAACGCCAAGTAACGTATAAATTAATCTTGGCTTGGTTATTGAAGAGGCGCAACATTTCAGATTCAAATAATCATGGTTATTGTAATTTCGCATCTAAAAAAACGGTCAGTTATATTGGATCCTTCTGTTAATAAAGACGAAAACCTTTGGTGCTGTTATGTATTTCTACCGGCTTTAATGCTCCCAAATTATGAGTGCGTCCAAGAACAAAATATGTGACAATAAATTATTAAACAGTTTGTACTTGTAGGTTTTTCTACATTCCGTGGATAGTAGTAAGTCTGGTATTCCATGTGTTTTGTGATGTTGCAGACCACGTAGAGATCCTTCTGGAGAACGTCGTTGAAGGTCAGGATTTCAATTTCAAGAAGATGGATTCAGGGGAGGTGAACTCACTCCGCGAACCCTACGACTACAGTTCCATCATGCACTACGCCAAGGGCACATTCGCAAAGGCGAACAAAGACGAGACCATTCGACCAAAGGCCTGCTGCCCAAGGCCTCCGATTGGACAGCGCATTCAGCTCAGTCCGGGTGATGTGAGACAGACCAACAAGCTCTACGGATGTCCCTGTAAGTCGTGCAATTTCATTTGGGACTACATTATTACTGAGATGCCTTATATCTTCCCTGTTTCGGGCTAAAGCGATTTTGTGCAAATGAAAAAGTGGGTTTGCTTGAGTAGAAGATGTCTAAACGTAGGCTTAAAAGGTCAAGATATCAAATTTGGTTTACTCCTGAAGGCGTTAAACAACTTTGACTCCCCATTTAGGGTTAGAAGAATTTACTGCGTGCGGCCTTAGGCAGTTTCTCTACAAACTTCCTCTAGTTACTCTTTCATCATCACTTCGGTTTGAGTGAAACGCTTCCTCTGAGGTAGACTTCACGCTGGTCAGGCATTTTTCAAGCTGTAGTTTGGTGAAAAGTCGGCGTCCACCTCATTTTCCTCTTGTACGAAAGTCATGCTTTCGGCAAAGTGGCCTCTTGTACCACAGATGAGGGCTTGTAAATCAAATGGTCATTTCTCCTATGGTACACTCCATGGTTAGACAAGTTCTGTTGGCAGCGAGTTCAATAAAATGTAGGCACATTTCTTCTTAATAATTACTACATGGCTCAATAAAGAACCTCATCACACCTTTCACAGATCGAAGTTTTCAGAGCCGTCTAGGCTATTCCCGCGGTATATTCTCAAAAGTTGGATTAAGTAACCTTTTGCATTACTAAATTCACTAGAAATATTTCACATTAAACATTATCTGAAAACAGTTCTCGGAAGAAGGAGTAATTTGTCCTGAGCTGAAACCCTAAAGCAATGTTATTATTTACAAACCGAAATAAGTAAGTAGTGTAGAACACTTCGTTGTGTTAGGAAAACTGATAAATTGCAGCTGTCTCGAGTCAAACGCACGCGAATTCCTCACACTGCCCATAATTTCAATGTAGCCGAAAGGTGGGTCTGAATTTCAGAGTTAAAGTCAACCTTTTACTATCCTTTAAAGGCAGGGCGACATAATATCCATCACGTTTCCCTGCACAAATTGAAAGTCTCTCTCCAAGCCTTCATATCCACTCACATAATCGAAATCTTTATTCCCCCCAAGCAATCGCCTGAAAATAACCTGTCATTTTATCAGAGTTTTGCATATACCGTAATCAAATTACTTTAGGAATTACCCAAAAAATAAGCAAACAAGCGAAGGAATTTACGGAAATTTTCATCCTCCCTTCTTCTTCAAACCCACGTTTTTTGACGTCTTTGCTGTCATGTTTAGATCTGTGGTGTTCTGATGTCTGTTTCTTCATTATGGAGCTTCGTGGTATCGTGTTTGAATATTGTGCGTTTTTGCAACCATTATTATTATTATTATTGAAAGATGTTCTGGCTGAAGACTGTGGATTTTAACCCTGAAATAAAGCAAATTATGGTATCACGGTACATGCGAAATTTTTTTTGAGCTGGGGACAGACGAATGAATTCGATGTGATCGCGAGCCTTGAGACATTTACCAAAGCGGACATTTTAAGGCGCACGAATTAAACTAGCGCTTCTGTTTAAGCCTGTGGTCGGACCCTTCTGGAGCCTTCAGGCACGTTCGCCTCACCTCAAATGTCCTGGGTGGTGCACAACAGTCATGACTACATCACTGCCTCAGTTCCCGACATCGATTTCAACTCGCCCGACATTCTCACCGACCCATCTTCCTTCTACCACCCGTTGACTCACGAATTGTCCAGCACCCACCGCCTTACCGGTATGGTTGGTGACCGCCAGAGCCAGATGCTGTCGGACGACAGTAGATGGGGCAAATTTGCTTCACTTGCGTCCAAAATGCACGAGCGCGGCGGAAGTGAGGCCTCCTCTTCTCTGGCATTCGCCCCGACAGGTCCGCTCTTCTGTCAGTGGCGGATAATTGTGGCCATGGGGGAGAGGATCTACCTCAACTTCACATACCTCGATATCTTTCAACAACACGACGATCTCAAAGCAATGGGCGGAGGGTCTGGTCTGGCGCTAAGCCGTGGAACGCCTCAGGCGCCATGCAGTAACGACTATGTCGAGGTTCGCGATGGATACTACTCTGGTTCACCGCTTATTGGTACGCGCCTAACTGAATTCTTAAATGCAGCTCTGAGGTCAATCCGTTCAGTGTTTCAAATTCTTTTTGCATTCAGGAAGGTACTGTGGCAAAACGCTGCCCCCGACGATCATTTCCACGAAGTCGCGTCTGTGGATCGAGTATCGTCGATCCTCGGAGTCACTAAGCACCGGATTTGTTGCTGAATATCAAGGTAAGTGGCGCAAGAATGGTCTCGAATCGGGTGTTATATTATAACCCCAAAATCCGCTAGTTAGGTCTACCGAGATTTGATTAAGGAAAAACCCTGAGACCATGTTTCAATAAGATTAGTCTTGTCTAGTATTTTTCCGTAGTATTACCAGGCACATTAGGTAATTAGCCCAATTGACCAAGCGCATGCCAGCATTACTTCGAACTTCTATCCCTATTAACTCATTGATTGAAGATATCTACAGTATCCCTTACTAATTTCTCTTTAATAACTTTCAAATGGAACAAAAACTTTTCATGTTAGTTCATGAATTGGCAAGATTTTGTTCCAATAATCTCTTAGCATATTCCTACGCTGCGTCAATTCAACATTTTGTGTTTTGTAATTGTAAGTGATCTATTCTTTTACAGTCCACAAAAAAAATTATCGGTATTCTTCTTACATGACACCTAACTAGTGTTACTTTGTTTTCACCCATGTGCTATCACGTTTCTACTGTATTTTTTGCTATATCTGTTTTTTGTCCTAAAAAGCCTGTTTCTTGCGAATATCAACTAATAGTCTCAGATGAGAGGCTTAATTACCACTTCAAGCAATTTATTCTTGGCTTGCACCAATTCTTGTGCCACCAAATCCAGATTCCAATTTAAAATTCTCTCTGGACTTAAGAATTTCAACCGATTTCTGGTTTCATTCCTGTCAATTCCAAGTTCCCATCCGATATTTTGGGATTCTGGATAATTATGTTAAAACTTGGACTTCTCAAATTGTCAGGTAACTGTGGTTTCAATTTTCGCTTATGAATGTTCTGCCAAGGACTCGCGATAAGTCGATTAGTGGATGTCAAACGGATCCCAAGTTAATGTAAAGTTACACTTTCAAGACTTCGATATTGACCTCTTTTGGATTTATGTAGTCACGAGTAAGTGCTTGTGTTAGATCCAGAGGATAAAGGGTCATTTTTAAAGTAAGCGCAACATCTATGATCGTATGGCAACTCAAAATATAATCTCGTGCAACCCGCTACATGAATTTCTTGGGGTTTTTACTCACAGGTAACAATTCTTGCGTTTTAGCCATGTGCGGTGGCGAGATCGTGCAAGAAGAGGGAGTAATCACGAGTCCAAGCTATCCAGAATTTTACAAGCCAAACAAGGAATGCATCTGGAAGATCGTTGTTCCGACGGGTTTCTCAGTTGCTCTCACATTCCAATCGTTTGACGTAAGTATTTCCTCTGAAATAATTTTTTGCAAAATGCTTCAAATTAAACCACTGTATGGTTTATTTGGCGTGACATATCGCCTAGCCTTGACTGTCTTCACTGAGTGGTTTGTGCAGACTTTTCCACTTCTAGTGCAGGGACACTCATCGGTGACCTAGTTCCGGATTTCGTGGACTGTTATATTACGGCTGTCCCCCTAAATAGGAACGGTTGTATGGTTAAAAGCGGTAACGCGTTTTGTGAAAACTACGCATTTAGGGATATATTTACCGGTAAAAGAATGCATTCGATATGTTGAGCACCTAAGGGTGATCATTCACGTGGAGTTAGTGTGTGGACCGGTTAACTTCTTTGCTGGTTCAATTTATAATTCACCTGATTGCAACCATTACAACATCCAAATTTACCACCATGTGACGGGGAGAATTTACTGATGCCTTCTTGTCTTAACAAAACACACTTACATGAATACTACCATAACATTCCGCTACCTCTAGGGCTCTAAAAATGTCCCTTTTTGTTTGCTAGTCCATTGTGCATTTCAAGTGAACTTTTTGACTATTTGATTTCTTTAAAAAAACCTGTAAAAACATGTGGAGATTTAGCTTCGTGCGTTTGCTAGGCTACTTTAAACACTTGCCAGCCATCAGTAGTAACATTGGACAGTGGGCACATTGGAAGGTCTCTTTTGGGTGCCCATCGTTGAATGCAAAGTGGTAACAGTTGCGCTGACAAGAATTAATTACCAGACAGGAGTTGCCAGCTTGGTACCGACGAAACCGCATCACAACCATGGGATGCGTGGATAATAATTGCAGAATTGTTGTGGTGGCACTAACAACGTTTGGGTGCGGTACTCACGCTCCACACACTGGCATTATTACCACGATCATAAGCAATTAAATAAGTGACCTAAAATGCGTTTATTTTGTGTCTTGGAGACAGCAAACAAAAAAGAAAAATAATGTCGTGATGAACTGTGAATCCACTTGAATTTGCCTGAAATTCTAGAACGCATATCCCAGTACATAAAATATCTGCATTACCAACTTCACAGAAAATGACTGAGGTGTAATAAAAACGTTGAGGGTATCTCATTAATCTACTTTAACTTTCTTGAAATTTTAATTGGGCAAATAGGTTTAAGGAATGTTACGTACTTTTAATGCGGGCAGTAAAAATGATTGTTCTTTTTGTGCGTAATAACACGACAAAATATAATCAGCTACTGGAGATTTGTCATTCCATGTACATCTCTCGCAACATAACTTCAGATTTTAAGTTATGTGAGAGTTTTTGTTTAAGTGAAATAATCTGAAATTGCCAACATTTTTCTCACTGATACAAAACACTCACTTTTTTCCCCGGGAAGACCTGTTTTTTTTGGCATTCTTCTAATTTCGCATTTGTGTTCTGGCAGTATCTGCCTTGTCAAGTCCCTGAGATCTAAATGATACTGACGGTTGTCGGAATTAAGGCGATTTACGTGGGCAGCTTTATAGCGAATCCAGGTAAATTACTGTTATCCTATTAGTAATGTAAATTGACGTGAATTATGTGCGAGTTGGCACAAGTTGGGTGAGGTTGGCACTTTTTTAACCACCATGGACTGCATCAACATTTATGTTTGCTTCACGATATCATTGTTGATTCAATCAACTTATCTTCTCGATTTACCCACTGGGAGATGTTTTGCTGTGCAAACATCTTAACCACTTCCACCTTAAAAGTTGGTCTTTCTCGCCGAAGTAATGAAGTTCTTAAGAATTATAACGTCACTTTTTATGACTTTATTCCCATAGCTGAAGGACTGTTAAGTACTCATTAGTAAAAATGTCATGTAATCTTGTTTTATGGCTGTTAGGTGGAGTGCACTTGTAAATTAAGCATCTGCTTGCCGTTCTGACCCCACTCATAAAACCAGGAGATAAAAACATTAAAAACGTGAGGGGAAATACGAACTTTTATGCAGGGCTGCCAAGCCCTAGGGCCAAGGTCAGAATGGAAAATCATGTCCTGCAGAAGAATTATCCGTAATCTGTAGATGTTTCCTGATTAACACAAAGAGCCTGAGTTGGAGCTGCAGAGTGTGGAGCAGTAGCTGTTTTCGATCATCGGTAGTGCGTGATTGGACAGTCGAAGGATGGAACGTGCCCACAAAAACACAAACGTGTGAGGCCTTCCTCGTGAATTGCCTTTTTGCAAGTATTTCCCCAACCAGATAAGAACTGGCCCAATAGTAGTTGCCCAGGTTGAGGATGATAGCTGAAATTTCTTATTCTTAACAATGTTAAAGCCACCGGCATGTAGACTCAAACTACAACGGGTCACCGCATTGTATTTGCTCGATTGCGCTATCCAGATGCCCAGGAAGACACCAAAGACCGGGCATGGTTGGGACTCAGGCACATTGCAATGTCCTACTCAAAAAATTGTGTCTGACTAACGGATCTTGTTAACTAATGCCGTCGGGTGATCTTGGAAAAGTACAAGTAGCTGGATGGATGAAATGGGCAACAGGAGGAGGGGACACGTGTACGTCGTCAAAGGGAGGGACAGAGAGTCTGAGCAAACGACTCCGAGTTAATTGGCGTAAAGCAACACGACTCGCAACAACGGCAACTTGAGCTAATTTTGTGGTATGCTGCACACTATCGGAAAGATTCCCTCTAAGCGGTATGATTTTCAGAAAATGCTCTTTTTGTTTACTCGATTAACGCGTCGAATACGGTGCGTGAAACTTAGGCCAGACAGATTTATTATCGTATGTATGCAGGCACAGACTAGCACATCCTGAAAACCAAGTATAGACTAATTAAGAAATGTCCAGTTGTTCCTTATTCCGTCCATTTACTTACAGGTAATGCAAAATAGGATAGTATTATATCTGGTCAAGCTGTTGAGACCACTTTAACTCGATTTGAGGCCACTTGAGATAAATTTGTGCTGGCATCTGTCAAATAGCCGGTTGATTTCTGGCTGAGATTTTAATGTGGCAGCTGCGTAAGCTTTGTGTGACAAGTTTGTTAAAAACCCCACGGTCCTGGTAAAATCGAGTCTAATTTCCAATCTGTGATTAATCTGTTCTACTCAAGAATACTCCGGTTTTCCGGTCATCATTCCGCATTTTTCTGGACAGCCTACGGATTACAGAATACAGAAATGAACAGAAATTGTGAATGAACATCTCGTGATACTTTTTCCTTTTTGCTTTATTAATTGGGACGCCAAAGTATGAAAAAAATGCTTTGATTTTTAATGTTAATTCGGTTGTTCGAATATAACAAATGCCCTCATTAGACCTGGTACAATATGTCTGCATACCAAACTTTTATTCCGAGCTCTTTTTAAACAATCGTGGTAAAATCTGGTTAAACTTTACTGCCAACGTAATGCTTTTGACTCGACTCTGGTTTTTCTAATAAACATTAAACTTACACCTCAGAGTTAAAGTCCTAATGATTCAGAGGTTGCAGGCCTTAAGGTTAGTAGAAACAAGGATTTTATAACCATGACTTAGCCATTTATTTTAAGTCTCCAGTGTTACCCAAATCCTGTCAGAGATTTTAAAAAAAATATTCCTAGGGGCAGCAAAAAGTCGTTTTCGAATATGTTCCCTAATTTCGTAACATCCTGTGTCCAATATCATGAAGTTTAGTGTATCACTATCACAAAAGTGCACAAATTGAAGCCTGTAGACCCAAAAAGTAAACTAAAGCCAATCCAACTAAAATTATGGCGATCACCTTAAAGGTGTTAACTTTCTTCAGACATACTGCTTCTCCATTGGTGGTTGGAAAGCCTCTAAACTGTGCTTTGTGCACGTAGTTGGAAAGGCATCTACACAACACTGATGCTTGTAAAAGTAATTTCATCATCAAAAGGCGTGCAACCGAGAATTCTACAATAAAGCTAACATTGCTGAATTTTCCCACTCATTTGTGTTAAATAATTCCTTCCATTATTGAAAAAAATGAATACCAGTCAGTTCACAGGGCTTATTTCCGTATGTATATCATAAATCAACGGCAGCATCAGATGGAATCTGAACTCTGCAAACTGCCGTTGTTAGTTAAGGTGGAATGCGGGAAGCTTAGGTTCAAACAATTCACTAAAAATCTGAAAAATGACTGTTTATTGCAGGTGACGTCTCAAATCTCCAACAATTTTCATAATTTAAAGCTGAAGGAGGTCCGTTTTCTCTAGAGCGTTAAATAAGTACAGGTGTCAAATCTGTTGCCCTTGCTATGCTCAACAACTACAATGCTCTCAATTTTCTTAGCTGGTCTTCATTTACATCCTTTTTAATACCACTAAATGCTAGGTTTCTGCAGTGACTTTTTGATGATCATGAATGTCAACAATTCCACCCATGGTTTGGCCGTTTAGTGATTGAGCCTTGTTACTTTTTAATACTTTTAAACTCTTGACAGTTTATAGGCCAGGCATGTCTCGTTTTTATCTAAATCTTGCCACTACAGTAACTGTTTAAAATTTGCGCCTCATTGTCATGCAGACTTTGACTACGTCGGTGTTATTTGACTGATTTTTAGATTGAAAAGCACGATAATTGTGTCTATGACTACCTGGAGATCCGAGACGGCCTGTCTGAAAGTTCGCCGGTGTTGAAGAAGCTTTGTGGTTCCAACTTGCCGACACCCATCAAGTCGACAAACAACATGATGTACATCAAGTTTGTCTCGGACAGCTCCGTCGAGAAGCAAGGTTTTACCGCCAAATTCCAAAAGGGTAGGCTTCATTTGACATACTCTGCTTTAAGGCTACGGCAGGTGATATTCTGCTAATGTCATGAAGCCACATCGTAGCTGAGGGCCTTTCAATTAACACAACTCGACTGTAACACCGTTTGTTCATACAAACTGTCAACCCAAGTTTGTTAGTAGTTTGTTGGTTTAAGTAGTAGTTTAAGATATGTGTAATGGCCCTGCTTAGAACTACCTTACAGCCCCCTAGTTAACAGTTCTTGAAAGCCCGAGAAGAGAGGCAAGGCAGACAACAGACGATACGACCGTCTATTAGCGGCACGCCAGCCAAGTGTCTTTGTGTGAGTGAGCGAATGAAAGTAACCAATGAAATATTGATTAGTCATTGACAGCATCAGTTCAGCAAGCAGGCTTTACTTACTCGCGATGGCTAACAGTTCACTACAAACGGTTATCAATATCTAATACACCTTGAACAACGAAATTCAACCATTTAACAATCATGTTTAGGCGCATTCGCACCCCACATGGGTTTGGGTTAAGTGATCTGTCATCTAAGAAAACCGTAATTTGCGTATACTTCCATCATGAGGTGTAAGCGTTACGTAGCTTTTCAACTATTTACTTGGGTGTGTGGATCATGCGCTGCAGTCGCAAAGCACCTGCTCTAAGGCTGATTTTCACGGAGGTAAGCAGGTTTGTCTGCCGTTACAAGGTGGCTTGCACTTTGCTTTTCAGAATTTGACGAGTGCAAGACGAACAAACATGGCTGCTCGCATATCTGTGTCAACACGCTGGGTGGTTACCGCTGCCAGTGTGAAATAGGCTATGAACTCCATCCTGATGGCAAACGATGCGAAGGTATGAACTTCCTAAAGCTCTGTGTCTATTCTTGTTCCGCAATTCCTACATCAACAGGTCTAGCTTCTAGTCGGATTCTATAGAACAAATAACACTGATAAATGCGGACTTGTGTTCGAGGGCTGTCGTAAACTGAAAGCATCTTACGTAATGCGTGTCTCGGGAAGAATTATGGGTCTGAACCGAGGCGTGAAAGTACAAGCAAATTACTTCACTCCTTGTGCTGTGCACAAGTGCTAGTTTGATGTATTGTTGAGCAGTTGTCGATCTTATCCATGAAACGCCCTTCGGACACCTGGTGATGGCTCATCCAATTTGTACAGAAACAGACGTTACTTCGGACTACACTTGACTATCGCAGACGTCACAAAAATTTGCATCTTCAGAAGTAGAATGAAAACACAGATGTTTCTTGTAACTACTGCCGTGGTACTAAATTAAAAATGTCAAACACATTTTTTTAGAACAGTGTAAATTGCCCTACGAAACCTCCACTTGTCTGGTGTTATACAAAATTGGGTTTTCCGCAAAAATCTTCGATCGGCTGAACTGGGCTTTTTTATATTCACCACACTTGGAGATCACACAAATTACAGATGTGTAATTTTTGCCATGACGGTTTTTGTCTGCTGCAATCTAAACAGGGTACTTTTGGGAGGCGATTTCCTTTCCACGTGTCTCGGCGTCTGCAGCGGTTTAGGCGGTAGTGGCTACTTTGTAAATGTTTTGTCAACTTAAGTTTAGTGGATGCACAAAAGTAGTGCATCAACTTCGGTGATGCAATTTATCCCAAACAAATTGAAAAGTAAATATATTCGCCCAAGGCGGGGAGAGTCATATCATATTCTTACAGGATAAGAAAGTCCCATGAACTATTATATGAGGTTTAAAGTGAAGAATTTAGGTATTAATTGGTGTTTGTAGTCTTTGAATTTAGATAGTGCAAGTTTATTGATCAGTCTTCTTCATTGGTCGGTTGTCCGTGCAACGAAGCGAAGAGAAATATAAGTCGATAATCGAAAAACTGCTTCACCGGCCATCCCACATTAATACAAGACCAAGACAAGAGCTCGTGTAGAGAGCTTTAATTGCGTCGGCCACGTGCGTGTGAGTTGTCAAAAGTGAAAATAATTCAAGTAAAGGTTGACCTGATAATAAGCGTAGTAAAACAGATGTCAATGAATTAGTGTAAATAATGACACAAACCGGCGATGAGCAATCTTGGGGAATCCTGGATCCCCAACACAAATACCTGCTTTATCCCTCGTGACATTAACGGACAGGAAGGTCATTGTCACGAGAACACGAATGATTAAGAAGATATATAAAACTTGGACCTTAATTGGATGATTAAGATTATTTCTTAAGAGTACATTTTGATCAATGCCCAGATCGGAATGTTGGCTAGGATCTCTAGTGCACTATAACACCCTCATTGCCAGGGAAACGGTGAAAAAGAATTCAGTTTACCAGACCCACCGTCTCTTTCTAAATAGGTTTACTCACATGAACACTTAATGGGTTGATTGCTAACCGCTGTGCTCCTTAGGCTCCATGATGCCTATTCAGGTCTTTTTTCCTCTCTGCTTCTCTGATTTTATTTCAAGGTCACACCACAATGCTTGCCAGATGTTTACAAAAGTACACAGCCCATTGTTTATTTCACCTCTAATGAGATTCGTTGTTATGTTTAATCTAAAACCCATAACATGGAAAAAGTCAGGAACAATTTACAACAAGTATGCAATTTTCACTCGATCTAATGCTTTTTGATTAGTTAATTATTTTTGTTAACGTTGCTAGCCAGTCGTCTATTCACTTATATCTCCAAAATTTGTCTTCCGAAATCAATGCTTGTTTCCTTCTTTCGTAATCGCGAACAGAAGATAATGATTTTTAAAAATAAAAAAGAACTTCCAAAAACTAACGCTACTACTAACCGCCTAATCAAGTAGCCAGCTATTCAGCCTCTGTTCTTCTCCTTCAGACGCCTGTGGTGGAGTGATAAACGCCGCCAACGGAACCATCCAAACGCCCGGTTTCCCGGCCGAGTATCCACCCAATAAAAACTGCATCTGGAAGATCGTTGCGGCTCCGAAGTCGACGATTTTCCTCAACTTCACTCGCTTCGACCTCGAGGGCAAAAACGTGAGTAGGCAGCTTTCTTATTGGCCTTCTTTGCTGTACGGCCGTTTTTAATGGCTGCGTAGCACTAGAATGAGCTTACCTTGCTAAATTCTCTGATTATTGGTCGGCTTAGGTAGACTTATGAGCAGTTCCATTGCAGGTTCGAGGTGTTCCTTAACTACAACCAAAGACATCTTTTCACTGCAGACTTGCATCAAGCATTTCTGCATGACAAGGGCGATTCTAAGTGACCCGTGTTAAATTGTCTAAATTTCGCTCTACTGTTCCGCGTCTTCGTGGGCAAGTTCTTGTCCATGCATATATTAACACAAAATGAACATTCAGACTCACATAAATGTTCATTCCAGGCGAATCAAGCCAAGAATGTTTACCTAATCTTGCACATAGTCCACGAATTCGCCCCATCGCTTAGACAAGAAGAACAATAGATTGAAGCAAACATGCTTGCGTCTTTACTCGTGTGAAGAATCCGTTCCTAATCGAGTGCACTTCAGAAGGCTCCCACGAAGTTGCTTTTATAAAGGCCATTCACACAGTCTACTAGGTTATTTGTTCACTAGTCATTAACCTGTTCAGAAGAAATTTGGATTAAAAATTTGTACAATCCACAATTTTGTTCACTCTTGGGTTGCCACAGGTCTATTTGGAGTCCTACCACCGCAATAACGATTGCGATACATTCCTGGAATTCTGGTGCCTTACGTAGTGTCGTTCTGCTTTTGCCTAATCTGGAAAGTCAGTACGTGTATCTTAACTAAGAAGATTTAAGAGATTTTCTGCACGTATGATCCTAGAGAATTAAATTAATAATTTGAGGACTTAGTGATTCTCTTGACTGAATCAGCATTGTCGTGCCATACCCATTCCGGTTTTGTTTTATTATAAGCAGTCAATTTTTTTTAAATGTGCAACACACAAGGCAATGCGGTGTTCGCATGTGTTATTTGGTGTAAAATACCAATTACCTTGTGAGTGCTTCGTCAAGTGAAATCCTTTTGTCATGTACACTGCCAAGACAAGTTAATCTGTTGTCTACTTAAAAACTCACCGTCTTTCAGATAATTAAGCCTTCAATTATTAATGGCCTTCATCTAGTACTGATGTTCTAGTGAGTAAGTGGCATTATTGGCAATGAAGACTTGCAGTACAGGCTTTCAGATGACAAGTTTTAACTGTCGATTTTATGTTATAGAAAGCCTGCAACTACGACTTCATAAACGTCTACAGTGGTCCACAGCACAATCAGCAGAAAATCGGTACTTTTTGCGGAAACACGCTCCCAGCCCCCATCACGTCGCACACAAATGAACTGAACATCGAATTCTACACGGATGGATCGGTCCAACGCACCGGCTTCAGGGCTGTCTTCTTTACCGACCTTGACGAATGTGCTGACAACAATGGCGGTTGTCAGCACATCTGTCGCAATACAATCGGCTCCTACTACTGCGAGTGTCGACCGGGCTACAAGGTGTACGGGAGATTCAATTGTAAAGAAAGTAAGCCTATAACTCCCAATTTCGAATTCCCGCCTATGTTGTCTCCTGAACGTATACTTGCGTGAGAGAATTTAGGCTTTGAGTGTATAATCTCCAGATCCGAAATGAAGGTGTTATCTGTGCAACACGCGTTTCCCGGTCTGTCGATAGCTAACTGTATTTCAATATACAAGCTTTGGAATACCAACACAAAAACACCTCCCTACAGTCTAGAAATCTCAAAATCTACGGATGATAACCAACCTTAGAGCTAAGTAAGCATGCTTGATGTCCTGGAACAAAGAAGATTAGAATCCTAGACGTAAGTTGTTCTTGCCAAATATCTGTTTTGCAAAGACGCAAAATACAAAACAGCTGTTCCTCGCTGTTAACCGTCATTTCGGTGAAAGGCTGGTAAACTTTCAAATACGAAAAACTCCCAACACAGCAGGATATGAGTCTATGCAATCTGAAAAGCGTACTTTTTCAATTGAACACCCAACATCACTAATATCGGCGTCAATTATAGCCGCTCTGACTATACCGGTAGTTGTGTTTTAATCGTTAAGACGCCAGCGCCTACTCCTTGCGGTCAGTTGGGACAGGCAAAAAATTATGGAAGTGTCCGGCGGGGAAATGTAAACTGCCATCTGAGCTACTAACGAGTGCTCAGTAGAGACAATTAGGACAATAGCATGGTCATTGTTTTGCCTCTCGAGTCAAGCCTTATTTGGCTTTTGTTTTTACTCTACTCTAATTGGATAAAACGAAGTCTGTTCCAATGCAATTGCCCAAGGTCAATATTGTACGCGAAAGCCTTGATGTCGTAGTTCAGAAAAGATAGTTACAAACGTAACTAATCAGATATTTTGCCAATTTTAAGTAAACTAGGTGAAATGGAGGTTTATTTTGCTCGTAGGATGCAAAATGCATTATCATTAATCTTCTAAAAAGGCTGATTTAACTAGTGTAGAATTAACTAACTGAACTGACCGTTGCCATAGCGCCAGTTCCTATTGTCACCATGGTTCAACAAGGCATTCATAAAAATTTCGAATTCGCCAACAAGCAAGCGCTAATGGGCTTAGCCAGGTATGCGAAACGGGTTGATTTATAACTCTGAGGCGGCTTGACTTGTTAGTGTGCAGATTACTTTGGTGACGGGATTACCAATTGTGCACAGGCCTTTCCTGCAGCCAAATCACCTCTTTAATTTGCAAAATTTTTGTAAAAAAAAAACTTTGACAGAGAGGGCATCTAGGTTGTGTCACAAGTCTCTGGAGTTGGATTTATGAAAGTGCAGTGCTAACATCCGCTTTTTCTCAGCTGTTCTGAGGTTGTTCAATGCCCACAATTACTCTGCATCATTCAATAGGCTTATCTTAGATTGTGTTAATTAAAAGTTATTTTGAAAATAAGGCATGTCTTTGTTAAAATTTGTAAATCAAGATTATATTTGACTAGTGTTCTAATCAAATGTGAATGAAACTGTCTCGGTGTGTTAGTCTTATAAGTTTCTGTCGTTGATATTTGAAGCTTATAAATCCAATTGCGACGCACATCGATGAGTATTTGGAAGTAGAGTTTTCCATAAATGTAGTTAGGTGATCTTGTGAACAGCAGGGAAATTTGTAGCAAATTTACGAACACCTGATTTACCTCGTTGCTGACCAGGACTTACGCCTCGGAAATCGATTTTTAAAAGTGTTGCTGTATGGGTATTTGGGTTGAGGCGTCATCCTTCACGTATTTGTCTAGCTCAAGAAGCTGTAACCTATATTTCTACGCTGGACACCACGAATGTAATCCAGACTTTACTGGGAGGCTATTCTGTTGCAGTTGTTAGAAATTTTTAGTCGCTCTTCTCGAAAATGAATATTTTCAGTATAATTGCGCTCCTTACCCACGGCGATACAACAGTTGTAATCCAAGATCGTGGTTTGGGACATTTTCGCCTACAGCCCTCTTCCACGAGTCAGTCGTTAGGTTTGGTGAATATGAGAGGGGAAGGGGGATTTCGCTTTGCCTGGAACTTGTGGTTAACTACTTTATTAACGGAAACCCATAAGTAATTCTCTTTGCCAGGTCTGCACAATCACTAGACTTAGTGGAAGTCATACAACGTCTTCGTTTTAACTGTAAATTTTAGCAAACGCGAGACAGAATGACGTCATTGTTGAACCAAATAAAGTGTTCTTACGTCAGCTGTCACGATCGCGGATGCGGTGTAAAACAAATTGTTTAAATATTTGCAAAGGATTGTAATGACCTGTTGAACTTTTGCGTTTGTGTCCGTTATAACCATTTCTACGTCGCCAAGTTTTAAGTGTTGAAATCCAAAGAAAAAGGCAACTTTTTGTGATGATTTTAACTTGCATTAGTAAAGCAAATAGGCCACCTGAAGACACACTGCTGCATATTTGACGTCAACGTTTATGCTGAGTAGCGGAATCCCGGCAACCAGAATGTAACTTGGTATGTTTTAAAGTCAACGGCTGTACATTTCAGCCAATTGGCTTGTTTCAAGTACCCGTTCAACAGGACGTGGAGGCTGCTTGTCCTGGCAACACTGGGGTGGCTCGCGCACATTTCGATTTGAATGGCTTCGGTGATATTGCTGGTGTTAGCTACTTTATGATCAACTGGCGATTTCCGTAGTTGTTTAATCTTGATTACTTTTTGAATTACCCCCAAAATTCCTTGTACTTTTGCCTTCAACTTTTGTGAGGTCGACCCACTTTCCAAACCTTGCCGAATAACTCCACGGTGTTCCGATTAGGGGCTTGTGTCAAATACCTGTTCACTTCTTTTAGTTCGTAGACGTCGCCGGTCATCAGGTGAGTGCTAATGTAAAAGAGCCTGCCGTTGGGCACTCTGTGTGCGATTTTCTCTGCGCCATCTCCTTTGCAGATCGGCTTTTTTTGCAATTTGCATTCTGTGAACCCGTTAATTAGTGCCAGCGTTCCTGTTCTAAGTAATGTTAGCTTGAATCTACTAATAACTCGAGCCTACACAAGACGATCACATGAATAGCTACTCCTACTCGTCATCGACATGCAGAACCAGTTACTGCAGGAATCTTACATTCAATTCTAGTTGAAAAGTTGCTCACAATGTCGATGAATAGCACAAATGTCACACGCAATTTTCGGCAGTCCATCTCTACTTTCCCTGCTAACGCTTCCGCTATTTCACTGTTGTACCAATGGCAGACTTGAATTACACGCTTGCGTAGTTTCCACCTGGTCAGCAATGACATCGAACCAATTAATAATTAGTAGCAGTTTTTCGCAGTGAAATCGTACTGCTTTCAAGCGCAAGGCACAGTTTTTGTCTTATTGGGTTAACATGAAGAATCGTGGCACAGTTGACGCTGATTTGCCCCTGGTTAAGAAAGCCACGTGACCTTTTTGTTTAGTTGGAATCAGCGCTGGCTGTCAACAGGAGATCTCTTCACCAGAGGGTGAAATCCGAACCCCCAACTGGCCCAGTGAATACCCCGCGAGGCAAAACTGCCAGTGGAAAATCACTGCAACGCCCGGCCACCGTGTTAAAGTCGTAAGGATCGCATTTAATTACTGTTCTATTTCTTCTTATACAACGTCCCCCACAACCCTCTCGTAGCTCTTTCACAGCGTCTTCATTGAAGTCGCTTACGAGAATAAAGCGCCTGCTTGAAGCATGCCCAAGTTCGCGGTGTAGAACACAGGAATCAATTTAATCACCTTTAAGGAAACACTATGACGACTCAAATTTCTTCTTAGGAAAGCCCTTTTTCCACAATTTTTGTAACAAAGCTAGGGGACTTCATGGATAATTAAGCTCTATACCTTCACCTATGGGATTGGATAGGCTTCTATAATTGATGCTTTCCCAAAAAGTGCAAGATTCCAGTTTCGATTCAGATGTTCGTTGGTGGAAAATCTGTAGAATAAACCTCACTAAGCATTTACGAAGCAGCTGTTACTCCGTAAATGCTGTTCTGGAATTCCAAGCAGCCATCATCTCGAACTGTGCCTTTCAGGTCTTCGATACCTTCGAGGTGGAATCTCACCAGCAATGCATGTACGACCGAGTGATCGCCTACGACGGTCTCACCACAGATGCACCCCAGCTGGGCCGTTATTGCGGTAGTCGTAAACCCGCACCCATCATTTCCACGCAGAGCACCCTCCTACTTACCTTCAACACAGACGGATCTGTCCAAAGGAAGGGCTTCAGGGCACAGCACTCTACTGGTGAGTTTGATTTTGGACTAATCATCAGGATTCGTCGATTGCGTTTCTCAGTCATTCATCGATAAGAATGGTTTTTGACTGTGTTAGAAGCCTAAAGATAAAATATCTACTAATCAGTAAATTAGTAAGCGATAATGCATCCAGCCTTTATCATGAGCATTAAATGATATCAACGTAAAAATAAGACAATATTTCTGCCTTTTTTGCCATCAGCGTGCGGTGGCGAGCTGAAAGCTGATGTTACCCCACAGAATCTCTTCTCACACGCCAAATTCGGCGATCTCGATTACCCCGTGAACCAGCAGTGCTACTGGACAATCCACACGAACCTCAAAAATTACACGATACTCATTCGCTTCCTCTTCTTCGAGGTGGAGGAGGAAACTCTTTGCACGTAAGCACATTGCCAGTCGAATTTTCATTTGAATCACGTGAAAGTTGCGAAAAGTCATAGAAGTCGCATGAATACGCCTGGAATTGTGGTGTCTTGGCAGTCATGAACGTTAACCTAACCTACACAGAAGGGAAAAAACGGTGCACGTTGATTGGTTGGTATCGTATGCATTGATGAGTTCCGTGTGCATCACAAAAATGTCATGATACTTTGATTTTCGCTACCAGAGTGGAGTTTGTTAGACCGCTATATTTAAAATTTGCTAATTTTTTTGCTAACGTGATTTGATTTAAGTAGGCACCAACGTTTACCGACCTGGAGTGCTTATAATATCACCAAATATCGCATTCTTGAGGCTACCGTTTAACAGCCTACAAAATTGCTGATCTAACATATTTAACGGCCATCCAAACCATGTAACTGTCTGTATCTTGTGATTTTGCACTTTAGTACTGTAAGGTAATTTTGCACAAACTATTCACGACTTTAGTACAGTTGAGCTCCAACAGAGCAATGCTATAGAAATGATTCGATGAGCATAAAACAATTTTCCTTGTCACTATTGATTTACAACGTCAGAGTACGCAAAATTCACAGCCACGCATAAAATTGAGCGTATGTGTGTTTGTGTGAGTAACAGGGGAATATTAAACAGCCGGCAGATAGAATTTGGCGACAGGCTTACCCCAAGACTACTTTCGAACGTGTGGATGCTCATCGATTTACGCGAAATCTGATTGGCCAAAAGTTATTTTTAATGTATTGACACAGTAGCCAAGGCTTGAACTCTATTTCCACATTTTTTCGTTATTTCCACATAAATATTCAGTCATTTCATGTGTTTAGGTACGACTATGTCAAAATCTTCGATGGTCCTGATGGTACTGCTCAACGACTGGGCGAATATTGTGGCCGAAAGGTAAAGTTAACTGTCTTTGTTGCGCCTCCCCGGTGCGGTTAGAAAATCACACCAAGGCCAACAATCTACGTTGACACAACCCGACTCAAAGCAGAGTAGAAATGCAGATAACCACGCCAGGGCCAACTAATTTATTGATGTTGTAATGGTGTGTGTGTGTGTGTGTGTGCTTGTTATACAAGATAACAAATCGATTTATATAGCTCTGCTAAACATCGATTCTTGAACGAACACATTTACGTGAAGTGCATTCACGAAAACCAATTGAATCATGTTCGCTCACGCTTGCTAATTGCGTTCGCTCACGATTGCTGTGTTCGCCTGCTGCTCGCCACACCTTCATGAACTCAATCTCGTGATTTGATTGGTTGGATGCTCACCAAACAATTCCTACGCTATTTATGACAAAGTCTTGTCAGAAATGCGTCACAAGGGCCCATTATCATTAGAAGTGAAATCTCTTTTTGTTTACCGTCCGTTAAAACACGTCTTTCTTCTCTTTTTCAGCTACCCCATGATTCCTATGCCTCTTCAGGTAGCATGCATATCCAGTTCTACACAGACGACACGATTAGCGGTAAGGGCTTTCACGCCCAATACCTGCTTGTTCCCTACGGCGCTGTTGCCCACCAGAACCACCTAAGTCTCTCTCCGATTGTCAAATTGCCTAATTCGCCCCCATCCTTTTATCGATCGGAACAACCGGCCTACCGGCCCAGACCCTCGGCGTCGATTACACCCTCGCGTGCCCGAGCTCCATTCCATGGGAGTCGGTATGTTTCTGGCATTCACCGCAGTTCTCCCTGGGTCAGTCAGAAGAGCCTCTTCGGACAACAGCGATCTTCGGCTTCCATGCAACAGCAGCAGCAGCAGTCACGTGCTTGGAGGGTACCTTATAGGCCTCCCTCATCGCCATCCCTGCGGCCCTCTCGAAATGCCAGACCTCGCGCACAAACCTTTAGCCCTCACGGGACCTGGACTGCTACTGACTATCGTCGTATTCACCCGCAACTGAGACCTGAAATTGAGTACGGAATCCACGAGGTAGGCGTCTCCACGACCACCTACCTCCCACCAGCCACAGAAACCGAACCGAAGTGGTTGGCTTCGCGACGATCTACACCACCGTACAGGCGCATTTCTAGACAATGAGTTACACAGACACGTACACACTTAGAGCAAAATTTTGACCACCGGCGGCTTCTAATCCCCGAATAACATACGTCTACCTTTCCCCTCTCTTCGAAAATCCCACTAAACGTCGCTCCTACACACACACACACACACATTGGTGCATTAAGATGCACTTGCCAGAATGTGAACAGCTATTGTTTCACCTTTATGCTAGCCTTTTCTGGGTGCATGGTTTGATTTTAGGCAACAGTCGAGATCCCATAGTTAACAGACCTGGAGAGAACCGACATATTTTGGGATACATGGCTTTAGAAAACTGTCCACAGACTGGAAAACATGCCTGAAACGTCAAATGATCTTCGGTTCCTGTGAAATGATGTTTGAGTCGGGACCAATTTTGGGTCAGTTCGAAGACTAATTTTCAGCATAAACAATTTCTTTGACAATGACAATGAAATATGTGGATCAGTTCATTCATTTATGACTTAAAGTAGGGTCAGAGCTGATGATCTGACGTGGATGGACATCTGTCCTCCCTTCGCTTCACACTTCGTGTTAATTAAATCGATAAAAAGCCAAGTCATGTGGGGTTCGGCGGCTTAAAGTACCTCGCTGCCAGAATCTAATTTTTTGAGAAAACGCCTCCTTGCCTCAAGACGTTTACTCGAGGATCTGCCTGCCTGCATTAGCACCAAAATATGTGACGGGACTATGGCGAGAAGCGGAATCCGATGTCTACTAAACCCAAGTTGAAGAATCTCAATACGTGGGAGATGGTGGCATCAAATGGAGGAAAGACCACAGTGGAGTGGGCCCCGGTGCGGTTATGGGGAACCACACCAGGGCCGGCGATTTACACCGAAAGGATAGCAGAACTGCAGATGGCGCGTAGCTCAACCAATTTATTTATGCAGCAGCAGTGTATGTACAGGATGAGGGGTGCGCTTATATAGCTTCGCTAAGCATCGATCTCTGAACTAATGGAGTTGCGAGAAGCGCATTAACGAAAATCGATTGAATCGTGTTCGCTCACGACCGCTAACTGTGCTCGCCACAACAGAATTAAGAAGCGAATAGGTAAAACAGGTTCTACAAGTTGAGCTGAAGCAATGGCAAACCATGACAATTACATTCGAATGACGTGTTGTGTGCTTGTGGATCGAGCAAGCAGGCTGTGAGGAAATAGGAACACTTGGGAAAACAAATGGCTGTCGGGGTGTTTCACGAAACAAAGGCCTCTTCCAGCAAAAGGTTGGCTAACAAAATTTGGGTTGGAAGTTTCACAAGGAGTCAAATTTGCATCAAGACTTTGTTCTGATAGAATGCGAGTACAGTAATTTGCTGAATAAAAGATAAGTAACTTCAGGGTCAAGTTCAGTATCCGTGTACCCCTTCACTCATGGGCTTAATCATGGCGCGAACTGCGAGATTGTGTGCCGACCCAAGCGGCATGAACAATCGAGTTTCACCTAGGTCTTATCGATCCATTTAGTGAATGTGTTTTATACAGAGATGAATATTGACGACTCGTGTCTGGGATATTTAAAAACGAATCTACACACACATTGGCTATCCACCCAGTCACACAATCTGAGTATCTATTCAGCGTCCCTATGGGCTATCGGAAGAAGACGAAATATGCGCCAGTGACCTATAATTACACACACGCGCACACACAAGAACACTACTCTGGTTTTCCCAACACATTGCAACATCTGCGTAAGGTAAGTGGGGATATAAAGTATGGCGGTCCCACAAGCCAGGGCTTTTACACCTGGAGATCTCAATTTTGCATGATCCTAGAATATTGGCGACGACCTCCTTTCACCTAGCTCAACCTGGTCTATTTAATTAAGGCAAGAAGGAAGGAAACAAATAAGATCAACAAAAAATGACCAAAATACTTCAAATCTAGGCGGATTAATTTATCGCCACAAATATTTATAGCCAGAAAGTTAAGAAAATAGAAGCCAAAATACAAACGTGTGTTTACAAGTGGATATATTAGGTGGTCAAGCAGAGTTTGGCAACGCATGGGTAGAAAGAGTTCCCCTGGTCCTCACTGTCGTCAGCGAGCAATTTGCATAGTTGAACTTCCTCAAACTGAACATTCTCAATAACACGCCGTGTTTCGTAGGCTGACAGGAGACCGATAGCAGAGAAGGGCTCTGAGCTCGGCTCACTTGGGAGGGAGACAGCCCCATCCGCGGAAAATCGAGAACGCTGGCGTTCTGCGCGCAGTCGAGAGTTGAGAACAGTCATGTGGAGCTTCACTGGGTCTCCAATGCGTCTATTACCACTGTGAAGGCCGTTTCGAGTGTACAAATCGGCCAGTCCATTCGCTAAACTCTGGAGGCGACGGCTTTGAGCGTTTTCGTGAAGCTAAAAATAATTTGACGTTTTAATTACCGATAATATCAATGCAACCTGGCAGATACGCAGGTCTGATGAGTCCTACCAGGTATTTAATGTAAGATTTGGGATAAAAATTAGACAAAGAAAGTCTAACTTGTCTGGAGAACAATCACACGCAAGCAACTCTTAAGTAAGATTAAGGAGATGATAATTAAGTATAAACAAAAGTAGGGTGTAATAAAAATTTGAAAAAAAATTGAGTGGCGACTACTGCAACGCACCGTCATATAGAGGACTCGGGCGGACCTTGGATCATCATTCATTGTGTCGAAACCGCGGATGGTTAACCGCAATGGAGTTCTGTCGAAGGCCTTGCCCTCTTCAGTTGTGTCCATAAATGTTGTTAGCAGTTGAGATGCCAGCTTGACTTCTCGCTGATCGGCAAGAAAGAGTGTTGCTAAAGTGAAATGCAGTTTGTGTTCTGATACGAAAAGATCAGCATCGATACCACGGTAGGCTCTTTCATTGTCTCTTTCTACGAGTTCAAGTACTTCTTTTTTAAAGGATACATAGGCGTCCCTTAGAGCTTCATTGGTACCTGGAAGGCAGATGAAGTGGGTGGGCCTCATTTGTGGACGCGATTTAGATATTATCCATTTAATTCGATTAAAAACCCCGCGAATATTTGCTTCGGTTTTGGCTGAAACCTGAATATGTGAACTGGAAGACCTCAGGTCAGGGATTTTTAATTTACAAGAAAATTCAGTTTGAAGTTCTGATTGCTTCGCGTGCTTTGCACCAATAATAAATCCATAGAAGACTGGCGGGACGTACAATTGAGCCACAAATCCGTCTGGCCTGGACTCGATTCTACCGACAATATGACAGACATGGTCAACTTCAATTTCACTATCAGCTTCAACATCGATGGCATCGAATTCTTCTTCCAGATGTCCAACAGGTAGTATTTCAGAAGTGGCGGATCGCGTTGGATTTTTACGAAAGAGCTTATTTCGTATTTTTATGATTGGTGGAGATAACACGTCCATAGTTTTTGTCCTTTTAAGCCAAATTCACCTGCAGCCAAGAATGAATGGCCGAATACGCTTAACCCACTCGACTTATTTTAGCCGCCGAAATCATAGTCATTTTTAACTAAGTGGTTAGCGGTAGTTTCAAAAGGAGGTCCATGTAGATATCCACTAGACATACATGAGCAATTTAGCTAAAGCAGGTTTCAAAACTGTCACTTCTGGAACTATCCGAAATTTAAAGGCCAAATGTAATTGCTATTTTCTTTGACGAGTACTTCTTAATTTTTTAAGATAAAATGCTGCCAATAAGTAACTTAGGCCTCAATTGCAGTACTCCTTGATATTACACCATATTGTGGTTTACGAGCAACAGGCCTACACGCACTTAACATTTGTCCTTATCTCGGAAACTTCGTCTCACCCAAAGACGGTAATATATTTAAATGATTTAAATTGTTTTCTTACTCAAAATTACGTTGAATTATAGAAATATTTCCTAATGCAGGAGCATAACCGATTTTCATTACTTTAATTTTTTTAATAAATATCCAGAAACTAGTTTTGATTCATTATTCTACTTATCACCACTCTTACGGTAAACTGGTTGCGACCTCGGCTGCTTGGACAGGCGTCAATTGCGTTAAACAAAACAATTGAGAGACAGCAGATATAGCTGCCATATTTCATGCTCTGAATCATGTGCTTCACCAGTATCTCTCTTTCACCTCCGACTTCGGTTATCAACGATAAAATTTTTCGTCTGATTTTCGAGGATTTAATATCGTGATAATACGTTATGTTATTCCCAATGCTTGATCGGGTTAAGGTGTGTAGAAACGAATCTAAGGTTAAAGCATTTCGATACGATGGAATAAGATATTTTAAAATTGCTTTACATTTTCGACAAAATCGATTTTTTCCAAAAAACTGTTCCCAGTCCCTGTCGAACGTTATGTGGTATTAAAATAAAGGAAATCCCATATTTCATAATTCCTACAATTTCTGCTGGCAAGTGTCTAGGCTCGATGGGAATTGTACTCTTTGCAATAGTTAGAGTGTCTTATCAACCATTCTTCATCAGAGTTCTCATCATCAATTTTAACATTTATAGATGTGGACGCACCTACCTTAAAACTCTTAACTTCACTCCTCATGCTCGACAAATCTGACTGTCTACGAACTTGCTGAAAGATTATGATTGGAAGGGACCTTCAAACACATGTCCTAGTCTTACTGTGCCACTTACATTTAGGATTATTTCTGGATTGTTTGGGAATGGACCTCACTGACTTTTTATTGTGGAATTCCCATGCACGTTCACGCCTTCCTCACACATAAAATTTACTCCCTTTTACTTAAACTGTCGAAAACTTAGCCGTTTGATGGGTTTTGCAGACCCACACATGAAAGATGTGTTACACACCAATAGTGGATTTAATCTATTGCTCGAAAACGTGCGAATGAGTCCTGACGTCATGCATTACCCATTTCTCAGTTTCCAAATTATTTATAAAAAGATGTTTTTGCAGCCCCCTACTCCTACTTTTTTTAAAAGCTGAACAGATCTGCTGCCACATTTATATGCGTAAGCATTGTACTCCACATTTAAAGGCTTCTGTTTGGAAAATTGTTTAAGGTATTAAATTCAAAGCACTGACATGTATATCTTAAAGTTTGCCTTACTCAGATGCGTGAGAGTACTGAAATGACTTGACTTATCAACTTTAATCAACCAAGCCAACAAAGTCCTGCTTTGAGTTCGCAAAGCCTCTCGTTGTGGGAATGAATCAACCAGTTAAAATGCATTCGGCACTAGGATTTTCCTAGTGTCAAGCGAAATCGCAAGTTTTCTGCTAAGCTAGCCAAAGTTATGTCACAAATCTCTTCATCGTGACTGGAAATGCGTTTTTTAGGCCTTTTTAATGTCTCTGTTGTCAGTATTCTACATGCTAGTATTTGCTTAAACGCGCTCTTCCAAATAGGTTGTGATTTTCGTTGCCTGGTCAGATAAGCAGGAATTTTTGGCAATGCTAAATTATCTTAGATTGAATTAGAGGCTCAAATGATTCTTTAGTATCTTATAAGATTTAACTTAACGATGGGGATACAGGTGATAGTTGTTATTGGAGATAGTGAACTAGGGCAATTCTCATATTTACATTTTTTGTCCACATCTAGACCGTAAATCAGTCGAGTAGTTAACACTCTGGTTTTTACATGTTCAGGCGGCCGATAAAGGGAGTGCGTGTTACTTTGACGCACTGACGTAGCATGTGGCAGTTCAGTGTGGAAGCATATATCTCAGAAACGTTTCAGCAATCAAGCTTACATTCAGTGCTGAAGGCAAAATGGCCTAATTGGCAATTTCAAATCGGGCCAGTGCAATTAACTGAGAAGCCCCTTGTTGATAAACCCCCTGATCGGAAGGCATGCTAAAAACTTGAAATTATTCCCAAAGAAGTTACAGTTCAATCCAAATATTGCTGAGATATTGGAAGGATCCAGTTTCAACATGACTCCGCGATTTTTTCATTGGCTGAAACAAGCAGTCACAAAAATCTCACGTGTGTGAGAAAAATGCTGTGTTCTTTGCATGACCAATGAATCTATTACCTTCGATCTATCTTGACCGCAACCAACTTAGCATTATAAGTATTCACTTGACTTTAACCTGCCGGTTGCCATGGTTACTTGACTCATGGATGTTAATCGCTGAGTATACGTAGATTAGTCCATTATTATGAGAAAATTTGACACCTCTGCACACGTTAGTATTGATATATTCTCTCTCCATATCTGTAGTTTTTCAAATTAGTTCTAGACCACAAAAGCACCATTTTATTAGATGCGGGACTTAATTGACTCAGATTTTTTTAAATTTTATTTGAAATATAAATGCTTTCGCGGTCTTTTGTACAGTACACCGAACGACAAGCCTACGTGGATTACGTAATCTTTCAGAGTGGTAGAATTTATAATGACAACAGATAATTAGCACCGCGTCTACAGCATGGAAATCGATTTGTAGTGTTCTTGGTGCCAACGTTGTGTTTTACAAAACATATAAATATCGATGCAAACTTGTTAGAAGTTGTGATTTTGATTTTAACCATTTCTAAGGTGGCGTAATTAGGGATCGGTACTACTGATCCAGTGGCAACCAAGTCGATGGGATCAGTCAGCACTTTCCGGTTCAGAGTCCATGCACCAACGATCCCGACGTTTCCTCAACCCGGCCATGCCCGCTGCTAACCCATACAACCCTATCTCTGGATTACTACAAGGTGCTGGAACAACCCCCGCCAATCCTCTCCGTTAAACGACAGAAACTTGTCTTTTGGTCTCTTTATCCTCCTCCTGGTAATTCGGCACACAACAGTGGACTCAACCATTGTGGATGCGACAAGCCTTGATAGAATTTTGTTGGCTGTTTCGTTTTTTCTTGATTTTAATAAAAAGTAAAATCTGTTAAATTAATTAGAGATTACCCCAATGTAGAAGGTCAGCAGCATTGCACGCATCAAGAGTCGTAGCCCCAACATGACAAACAATCCACTGAGGCTATCACAGCATTTATCATCAAGTTTACAGAAGGGGGAGCAATTGGGCGCAAGTGGGTTCCAGTTAGTATTTGGTATCCGCTTCATGAAAGCGAAGCCAATGCACCATCCGTGTCCGCACTACTTTGATACATTTCACATGCCTAGTGAAATGTGTCGGCAGTGAAGAACGTGCCACCAAGATCAGCCACCCTATTTTGCAATACTCCGCTGTCAAAATCGAAATGATAACCACAATGTGTTTCGTTTTGTGAGAATACCCAGTCAGCACTGCCTCTTGGATGACGATAACCGACTTTGGTGTAACCGCATGGGGAAACGATGTGGCTCACCTTTCATTTTCACACCACTTTGACACGCTTCGCCACATTTTAAGTGGACGTACTAATTGTTGGCAGTGAAAAACCTGCCACCTAGAGCAATCACCTTGTATTTCAGGAGACCATTTCATAATTCACTACAAGATCTCATCAATTGACAAACATTCAACCATTTCATGACCTAATAAAGCCAATGTACTAGAATATATGACTTAACAAATGTACCAGTTTTCGTTCCCAACGAAAACGTGTTTTCGAGTGAATGACAAATACTATTAGTTTGTAAATCTCGAACATTGTGAATATGCAAGCACCAATAACAAGTTTAAGGCATGCAAAAATATCAAAACCATCGTCTAGAAGTGCTCATATGTTATCAGCAAGTAGAAATCTAATCCTCCGGCTTTCCAAATATCCTTACGGTTTCGCGTGTAGTCCCATGCCATAAAGAAGGGTAACCCACTCGATTCGCCATCACAACAATCGGGCTATTGATATACTGTCTAGTTCCTACAATGGCCCACAGAACGAGGACTGGCAATATACGGGGACTAAACGGCTTACAAAATACGCAAAACTGGTTGCAAGCGTTTTCGTCAACACAATGGCATGCAAAATAAATTCAATAAGCGCATGTTTATGTCCAAATTAACAATATGAACTAAAAGAAATGCAATTACCACGCAATATAATTTTACGACAAAGTTATATTTACAGATTTCTTAAAATTTCGCATTATCATACTACAATGCGGTACGTAATGTAACGACCAGCGGTCTCTGACGGACGATTTATTCGTACCACTTGACCGCGCTTCAACCCGTAATACCGGGCAACAGGATCACTTGCCTGCATTTTTGGAAGCTGGCTTTCTTTCAGACGGCTAAAGGGTGATGAGAAAAAATTCGATTCTTACTATCTATCAAGGAGTTCCTTCTTTTCCTCAGTGGTAAGCACACTGTGTTGTGGTACTAACTGATGCTCGGTTATATTTACCATTAGCTCATTTTCATAAAAAGACTCAAGAGTGTACTTGTGAGCCATTTCAGCGATAGCCTACAAGATTATGCGATAAAGGAAACATACGGTTTTGGCTGCCGGAGTAAGACCACGCTCCTGAAGTACTAGTATAGCCTTATATGTGTGATCCTGCTGCATTTGATCGACATAGGCACGGATGGTTTTCATATTGACTTTTTCTTCCTCAGGAAAAAAAACATACAACATGTCGGCGGGATCTTCTTCATGGTTGACAACCATTAGCAAGTCCTTGCGACTAGGCGGGTCACCTACGGCTTCCTTAAATTCCTCCAACGTTTGATCTAATTCCTTCTGCATAACAAGATAGCCTCTGTCGTGACACATTTTAAGTATAGTTTTTTTGATTCGCCAGAGCTTGTATGTTTCATAGTCTTCTGACATTACGAAGAAACCGGCAACAACAAGAAAGCCACACCTAATTTAAACTTGTTGGCCATTTAATAGAATATACAAACAAACAAATGCTATTTGACCCAAATGACGGCATTTACAATATTTTTCAAAAAAATATAAATCGTTTTTGGTTAAGAAAACATTGTGTCGATGCATTTGAGTTTATTTAAATTCGCACTTGTCAAACAAAGCTTGAATTCTCTGTAACGTAAATCATGAATTACTTTTTTTTGAGTACGACTTTACGTATTATCATTAGAGATCCATTTGTCTCAAAAAAGGACTAAATTACTGTTGTTTTGATTTCATTTCTTTTTTTGGGTTCCTGGTACTGAGTCTAGTCTCTACAAATTGCTGATCCAGACATAGATCATGCTCAATCGCATCCTTCCTATTAAACTAAGAAATTGGCTGGTGTTTAAATTAGCCCATGCCTGTGATATTAATCCTGGGCTCTAAGCGTAATCGCATGCCCTTTCTACCATAAACGCGTGCAAAAACTGTCGCATTGGACAGCCGCTTAGACAAAATTGAAGGGTCAATTGATAATCAGGCGTTCCCCATATCACCGAACTCGCTAGCAGCTCCTCATTATGTTCTAAGTTGCAGGATGCATGTTAATACCATAAAACCATCGGAAGTGCTAGGAGTTTTGTCAGTTTGGTGCCTAATATCTTTTGCACTCACTGCAAGGCTCGCTTATCTTTTGGTGAAATTCATGTATGACACACCTGGCACATAGAGAGTTATCTTGATACTTCCTCTTTGTGTTATCATGTTGATAGACTGAGTGAAAAAAAAACAAGGTCAAACATCAGTAAATGTCAGCTTGAAGGTGTAGAAAGTTCTCCAGATTTCAGAATATCCTATCTCAGTAACATAAGCATTTTTAGCTGAGACCATCAGTATGTTAAAGTAATCGTCTACTTATTTACTTTTTAGATTGAAAGCATCTAAGATTTAATCTTTGTGTTTGTTAATATTAAATAACAGCCCCAACTCTCCCCCTCATTCACACGAATGTTTATCTTGGATTATCCTCACATCTGGGTCTCGATGTTAGCGCACCTGTGGCTCACCCATGAGGTATAAATTCGCACGCGCAAACCCCACACTCGACACAACGACACCACGAAGTAAACAGTTGTGTCCACGTCCTCTCCGATCCTTCCCTTCATCGCGGGTATCAGGGAAGCGTAATGGGGCCAGGGTTAATTCAGTGGCCCAGGCGTGGTTCAAGACCACATGCTGGGGCCCACAACAGGATTGAGTAGTGAAATACTCTATATGCAAAATTCGACATTTTTATGAAATCTCTCCAATCGGATGGTAGCTTTCTTGAGCACTTTTTCCTCAGGCTAATTGGTGCTAAACACTTCCCCTCATCGTTCATTGGTCCCTGTTCAATGGTGCTCAAAAACCACCATCAAGTCGCACCATCTTCCTTGTTCTAGATTTCCATGCCTGTTAAGTGCAAATAAGTTGTAAATTAGCCAGCCTCTAATGGCACTGGCCTCAACAAACTTCAAACACCGTGATTCCGACTTCCACACTCACCCACGCACGACGCTGTGTTTGTGGGCCACTTGTTTGACAAGTTCCATAAACATAAACACGATCCATGAAAGCGCACTGTGAGGGTTCGCGGCCTCTTGACATGCCATTCCACTGACAAGTGTTACTCCCTTACAATGCGTCGTGCCCAGAGAGGGCGAGTTGTTTTCGCAGGTTTGTAGATTAATATAGTCCGCAGAAATCATAAACAAATTCACCGTGGGGTCACGAAGAGGTCAACGGAATACATAAGCAAATAAACACACCTCATGAAAACTAACCACACTGGTTAACCCATTAGATATCCATGTCTTCCTTCTACATTGGCGATCGTTTATTTATTGTATAACCATATCGAAAGAAATGTCTGCATATCAACCCTTGATTCAGATTTTCTGTTCAAATTAACCGCATTGGTTGCTTGGCTTCGGTAACTCACAAGCAGACACTGCAACTATTTCCCGACTTCGCACACACAGCCACCAAACTTTCACTTTTATTACACCTTAGTAATGAATTTAACCATATTTGAATTGGTGAAAGTCCTCTATGATATTCTAATACACAGTATAAAACTGCAGAAATGCCAAAAAGCCAACCCACATTAATTTACTATCAAGGGTGGTAATATCCCCAAGTGTTTATCATAAATTTGTCAACAAATCCTTCATTCTACGCAGCGTTTTCAAGTGTTTCTTGCATTACTCGAAAAATTGCGATCTAATTGACTTTCGCTACAAATAACGGCTTTTCAAAACAACTAAAAAAGCACTCACGATTCTGTTCCAGATACGGCTTATACACCTACAACAGAAAAATTCGCGCAGTCAATTTCGATTATGTAAGTTAGTGTTTATAATATGTAAAAGTGCATGCATACATAAATCGTACAGATTTTAGTTTACAAATGCTAGGACATCAAACTTAGCTGTCCGCTTGATGCCATGAAAGTGACCAATTGGATTCAGGTTCACGAGGCCACCAATGACAACAACCTCACCAACATTTTTCCGCATATATAAACACGTGCGTGTTAGTGACAACTTCAAGTCAGCATGCAGATGTTTGTGTGGCAGATTCTGGTGCTGTTGAGCGCCGTCACGAGGGCCATGATTATTGGCCCGCGACAACATTATGGACCGGTTGATGTCAACAATACCGTCTCCGTCGTCATTGCTACCGAATTGTTCATCGACTTACCAAACAGAATCATCGTTCACTCCTTAAGGCCTCTGACCAAAATCACTGTGAACATGACCGCTTTTCAACTGGCTTCCAACGATATCGGTTTAACTACTTTCAACAATCTCGAAGCCACTGCCATCACCGATTCCGCCCATGGTCAACGCATGCACATCTACGAATTGGACTACTCGGTTCCAATTGAAATGATACCTGGCAGTTCCTGTACGCTCAATG